ATCACATGACCTGATCCGGGCTCGAACCCCGGGCCGCCTGAGGTATGGCTCGGCCTTGTTCGGTGAGTTGGTAAAAGAACTGTAGTTCAGTCGTTGTGAGCTGTTGCTGATATAAATTTTTAGCTGAGGCACGGGGATAGTTCAGGAACTCAGAGTACGCGGAACGTCTGCCTTTGGAAGCCGTTACCGAGCAACGACTGGTGAAGACACAGCAGACTAAACAGGCTTGATGCATGTTCTGGTGATTTGTAGACTGTGTGAATTAACGATAGTGCTATAGTTGATTGTAGTTACTGTCTGTAAGTTGTCATCAAATCCAGTTGCCCAACCGTCGCTAGTCACTCATACACGTGACCGTATTCTCAAAATAATGCGAAACACATACATACACTTTGTGAGCAAAATGAGTAATTTAAGGCTGTTAAGTGGACTCGTAGCTGTCACTGTCATTTAAAGGAACAAAGTAATAAGTACGTGTATAAATAAATATTACTCGTATATTCCTGTTCTTATAACGCTGAGTCCTACTTCCATTTACGTATAGTTACGAAGTTTTCACTTCTTATTCACCATCTCACATGCAAATTTGCATTAAACTCTTTAAATTCACATTTATTTAGTCGCAAAATTATTTTCACGTCAGTGGTGACACTACAAAAGCAATTTTCGAAGCACATGATGTTGACAATATCGGTCGAAACATGTAATGGCATCAGTGTTGTGAAAGTAATTTTGAAATCCAGAAAATGCGAATTTTAAGATTTTGGCACAGGTTTGCATGTGAGACGATGAACGAGACTTGGAAACAAGTGACGTGTAGCAGTGCATCTTTATAATGACGAAGACCTCAATTCTCAGCATGAAAACTAGGATTTTTCCTCCTCCAAATGTGTCCAAAACAGCTGTGGGACACACCCGGCCTATGCTTTGTCTACAGCAAATCCGAGCATGCGCAATGCTTTCAGCAAGCAACATCCCGTGCATTTAGCAAGATCTCCTGTACGGCGAATTTCATTCCCGTCGTAAGCCAAAAATAGAACGCAGTAAATTTCTGACAATGACGTAACGACCTGTCACAGCCTGATGATGACGCAAACACATAGATATTGGGGGCACAGTAGACTAACCGCTGAGCAACGGAGCCCTTCCTTAGCATTAAGGAAACCAGTCTTGTGTGCGACCATGGATCGCCATATCATGTCAAAATTGTATGTTGTCACGTGTAGGTGTGGCTGCGTGACTTACAAGACAGGTTCTGGATTGTATGATTGCATTTATTGACACCTTATTTATACACACCACTCGGAACTACAGGCTGTTACACCGTTACACACGCACTGTGGTTCTCAGTCTTCTCTAGTCATATCCTGGCAACGGATTTATAACAGTTTCACTGTCACTTCAAATCACAATTAAATCTTCTTTGCGCCGACTAATTCCCTTCCTGCCATTATCCTGCAGCTATCAATTCGATTTCTCTGCTCCAAAGCTCATATCCTGGCAGGCTGGCTTCTCGAAACTCGACTCAGTTCTTCTCAAATGAACTCTTCTTTATAACCACTTTGCACGGACCACGCAGAAGACACATCCTCTCTATTGTTGGGTAGGCGTGCTTACAGCACCTTTTCATAGAAACGGAAGTTACTCAATTGTTGCTTGCGTATTCGTTGCCGTGGGAATGCGTTTACCTAGTCCTTTCCTATCACTATATGTCTATTATTATTTCACTATTCCGGCTTCCGGGCGTCATGTCACAATATATATATATATATATATATATATATACCTTTTAACACACAACTAAATTTTAATTCCTATGAAGTTGTTTTAATATTTTTAAAAATTTTAATTTTAATATTTAATACATTGGTGGGAAAGCCAGTAGGAAAGAGACCACAGGGAAGACCAAGGCGTATGTGTGTGGACAATATTAGAATGGATCTTAGAGAGATAGGATGGGATGGTGTGAATTGGATAGATCTGGCTCAGGATAGAGACCAGTGGAGGGCTCTTGTGAACACGGTAATGAACCTTCCCGTTCCATAAAATGCTGAGAAATTCTTGAGTAGCTGCAGAATTGGCAGCTCCTCCAGAAGGGCTCAGCTCCATGAGTAAGTAAATAAGCAATCCATTGCATAAGGACGTTACATAAACAACATACCTGTACAACGCACGCCTAACGTATAAACACTGGCAAATGTAAGGAAATATAGCAGAGAGAAGGAAAGGTGATTGTAAAAGCTCTTATGTACATGATGATGTTCGCAGTACAGGTATACGTGCAAACGCGTGGTGTGTTCATACCAGAATTGTGTCGACCGAGTAATAATAGACATTGAATTCCTCTTCAAATTCACACCTCCATGGCATGATTTTGGCAACGAAATATCAGGACGGACTTATCTGCATTATGCACACTGTTTTGTATGCTTACTGTAAAGAACACAAAGCAAAGGAGAAGATAAATTGTTAGAGAGCCGGACTAACACAGCTTGTGAATGAAGTCGGTGGAAGTGAATACAAAATAAAAGGAAATGTAAGTTGAAACACAAGAACATGTACGTCAGTAGGTCTGAATGCCATTGTCATCCGTCGGTGTTTCATCAGAATCTCTGGAGAGGCAGCACCTGTATCCCACCGAACAATGCCCTCGACTGGAAGCTTCAGACTTAGTTCCACATTTTCTAGCTCTGTCTTATTTTCAATATTACATGAAAGGAACGCGTGTAATTAGTGAAGATTCTATAGAAAAATGAACATAAAATAGGAGGGGTATGATCTTTAGAGTTTTAACGTCGTGTAATTCGGATATGTCCTAACGTTTCGGAGGAAAATTTCGTCTTTATTTTTAGGACTGAAGAGTTAAAGTGGGCAATAAATCAGCAGAAGCAGGCCGCAATTTACTAGTTTTTTCTTTTTAATTGGTTTAGTACTCGCTTCCGAAGATGCAGGTTACAACCCAGCAGACAGTACACTTCATAATCACCGCCGCAAGAAATCAAATTCGGCTTAAATACCTTTCCGTGTTTACTTTCTCCGACTGATACACTAATGCGCTAGTGCGCTAATGAGGCACCGCATTCTCTGATATTGGCTTTAACTGTGGAAAGGAATCAATACGCAGTGTTACAAACTGTCAAGTTACAGCGGTTTAAATACTTCCCAGTTCAGTCCTTAACAATTTTTAAGTACAGTGGGTAATGTGTTTAGACCGCCTCTGTGGTCTAGTGGTCAGAGTTCCTGGCTACAGATCCAGAGGTCACGGTTTTGATGCCCAACGCTACCAGATTTTCTGAGAAGTAGTGGGTCTGGAACGGGATCCACCCAGCCTCGTGAGGATAATTGAGGAGCTATTTCAAGGAAATAGCGGCTCCGGTCTAGAAAACCGAAATTAACGGCCTAGGGGATCCGTTGCGCTCACCACGCGAAACCCTCTATCTGAAAAAGTTGGCACTAACTTTGCCGACAAGCGGCGTTCGCTCGGTCGGTATAGTTCACTTGTGGACTACAGGCCACGGAGTTTGTTTTTTGTTTTGGTTAGTGTGTTTAATACCCGCTATAACATTTAAGAAAATCTGCATTTTAATTCACGGAATGTCTTTATTAGTTTTTATGTGACTTTGGTGGATTTGGTAAAGACTGTGTCTTCCAGTAAGTGACTTGTTTATTGGTAGAATAAAATGACGATTGGTTCTCAGGTGCGGTCTATTTGCATCAGCAAGCTTATCTCCACCGCATCCCGAACAGCCTTGTGTGAGCTTACTCATTTTCAATGAAATTGAGAAGCAATTTTTTTCTTGAGGGGGTTAAGTCGGTCGGAGATTTTATATGTTGATTCCTAACCTCACCTGACTGAGTTAGCCATAAGTATGTAGCTCTGTTGCCAAATATTAATTTGCGTATCAGATGGCGTTACGTGCACGCTCAATCCCACGTGATCACATTACACGCCGAAGCAGAAGAATGGTGCCTCATGTGAGACTGGAACGGAAATATGGAATATGCCTGTGGAGGGTAAACGAGAAGTGACAACACTGCGATGAACCATTGGAAGATCGTAGGGTGAAGTGACCTCGAAGGCCAGTAGTGATCCCTCGATTCGGTTTTTTTTTGTCTCTGGTGAACGACGTGATTTCCTACAAGGCACGCAGTGGTTGCACATGGAATGCATGACATTTGGCACATAACATGAGAGGGAAAATTAACAAAAGGTTGTCTCAATTTGTAATGGTATTGAGTCCCATAAACGGGGGGGGGGGTATATTTTTGTTTTTACTCTTATTCCAATTTATGGGTGGACGAACTCTGTAGATCTAAAATATTTTTAAAGGTTATTCTCAATTTTATGTCACATTTCACATATTCGGACTATTTTTCACGCATTTTGTAAAGTACGTATAATATAATATATTTAATAAAAATGTTTCGTAAACAAGAGCTTATTTGGACACTATATACTCTCGATATTGACGGCGTCGTTAAATAATCAACCTAAAGGCATCCTTCTTACAATATAACGTAGTGTGCCATTTCTCCTGTTCTGTCAGGAACATAGTGTAAGGAAATAACACTTACATGGAAAACGTAGAGCTAGCAAATTGTCCGGCCAATGCTGTTTCTTCCTGCTTTAGTATATTTTATAGGAGCCGGGATAGCGTAGTCGGTATAGCGACTTGCTACGGGCTCGACGACTGAGGAGTCGGAGTTCGAGTTCCAGTAGGATCAAGAATTTTCACTTCTCTACGTCGTCCAGACCGGCTCGGGGGTCCATGCAACCTTGTATCCAATGGGTGCCGGGGGCTTTCTCCCCGGGGGTAAAGCGGCCGGGGCGTTAAGCTAACCACCCACCTCCAGCTAGTGCCAAGGTCAAGAAAATATGGATGTATCGATTCACTCCCCCATACGCCTTCATGGCGTAGTGCTTAAATAGTTGTGAATAGGGACAACTTTATCTTTTTATTTTAGTATGTTTAATACACATCTACGATTGTTTGTTGCAGACATGCGGTTGGTCACAGAGGCCACGTGGCAGTCCTGAGTGATGACGTGATGAAAGCGTCGCTATTGGTGCTCCTCCTGGTGGCGGTGCGTGCGGTGATAGGCGGAACCAACCGGAGCTTGTTGCCAGATGACACCGAGCTTCTGGGCTCCTGCGTACCCACTGTTCTCGAGGGTGTGCTGCTGTCTGCGGGTAACCTGCCAGATCGGGTAGTCAACCTGAAGCCTGTCGCCATGCAAGCCGCTCAGGAAGTGGCAGGAGGGGTTCGTGACGTGGAGCGGTTGCTGATGCTGAAGCTGAAGGAGCATCGTGTGCTGACGGCCATTGCCGTATCTTTGTCCCGTCCACCAGAGAACGCTACCGTCATCTACCGCTCTGGTGACGACAGCACCCGGGTCCATCGGCTTAGCAATTTGTCGTCTTTGGTGGATACGACATGGCGGACTGTGCTGGATGCTGACTGGAACCAGAGTTCCAAGGCGTCTGACGTCACGGAGCTCTGGACGCCTCCGTTTCTGGACTGCCTTACAAGAAAATGGCTTTTCGGTTACTCGGTCTCACTGCACAGGTACAGTGTTATCTGGGCACACAGTGGGTCTTGGTTTGTCCACGGGAAACGGGATGTTACCCTTCAGACATAAGAATGGAATCTAAGATGTACGCTGTACGGATAAAAAGGGTTACCTAACTAATTCAACAGCAGAGTCCAACATGGAAAGTCAATAGGTGATCATCTAGTCAAGCAATTCTGAGCTGTTCTTGGAACCAGAAGAATATTTATCTTGTTCACAAGAGTCATGGCTACTATACTCAATCATATGAATCCAGTCTAAACACTACCTTCTATACCTTCAACATCCATTTTAATTATAACAAAAATTATATGTGCACCGTCAATAATGCAACAACGATATTTAAAATAAATAAAATAAAAGACGCCTAAAATATGTTCATCACTAAAAGTGTAGTTTCAATAATTTAAAATGTCATTAAATGTTATAAAATGTCATCAAGATATTACAGGTATATCGTTTACACTAAAAGTCACTATAAAATAATTTAGAATGTCTTTAATTTGTATATGTTCTTCTAATTTGCTACATGTTCATAACTTAACATTTAATAACAATTTAAAGTATAAAAACTACACTTTTAGTGAAGAACATGTTTTAGGTGTCTTCTGTTTTATTTATTTTAAATATATCATTGTTGCATTATTGAAGGTGTACATATAATTTTTGTTATAATTTTTTAATAACACCTCAATGTAACAGGATGCTGAAATGTAATTCCCATTGTAATGTTACCCACCCACTTATGCCTGTTCTTCTGGGTGATTCCATGCCTTCAGCTTGCTATCAGGCTTTTTACTTACCTCCTCTCCATCGCTTGAGTGCTACATACCTCGCCTATTTATTTCACCCTGCTTCATTTCATCATTTTTATTAAACCATATTTAAAATAAATGTACTCTGATGAAATTTGCAAATGACGGCATAATGTCTCGGTATTTAAGATGCGGGAAACTTCGATGTAAGAATCCGTTATCGCAAGAATAACTTCTCGACTATCTACGTCAGGGAAGCCTCGACACCAGAATCTATTACTGCGGCAGTAACGTGTTTGGGATTTAGGTTTCCGGAGGCCTGTGCACCTGAACCAGTTACTGCGAGAGTAACTTGTCTGGATTTAGGTTTCGGGAGGCCTCTGCACCTGAGCCAGTTACTGCGAGAGTAACTTCTCTGGGATTTAGGTTTCTGGAGGCCTCTGCACCTGAACCAGTTTCTGCGACAGTAACTTCTCTGGATTTAGGTTTCGGGAGGCCTCTGCACCTGAACCAGTTACTGCGACAGTAACTTCTCTGGGATTTAGGTTTCTGGAGGCCTCTGCACCTGAACCAGTTTCTGCGACAGTAACTTCTCTGGATTTAGGTTTCGGGAGGCCTCTGCACCTGAGCCAGTTACTGCGACAGTAACTTCTCTGGGATTTAGGTTTCTGGAGGCCTCTGCACCTGAACCAGTTTCTGCGACAGTAACTTCTCTGGATTTAGGTTTCGGGAGGCCTCTGAACCTGAACCAGTTACTACGACAGTAACTTCTCTGGGATTTAGGTTTCGGGAGGCCTCTGCACCTGAGCCAGTTACTGCGAGAGTAACTTCTCTGGATTTAGGTTTCTGGAGGCCTCTGCACCTGAGCCAGTTACTGCGACAGTAACTTCTCTGGGATTTAGGTTTCTGGAGGCCTCTGCACCTGAACCAGTTTCTGTGACAGTAACTTCTCTGGATTTAGGTTTCGGGAGGCCTCTGCACCTGAACCAGTTACTGCTGCATAACGGGGCTTGCTGTGAGGCCAGACGTAAACATAAATACGAGCAATATGCACGCGCTGCGGAGTATTGTCAGGTTAATTAAATGAAAATGCACGAGACGGGAGAAAGCTCTAACGCGTATAAGGGAAATGAGAAGTCCGCCAGCCTCTAACATATTCTTCGGGAAACTTTTAATAGGAACGTCCGGATGGAAGCAGACAGATATAAATGGAGTTTTTAGAAATAGGGTGTAATGTGGAAATTGGAGGGCGTTGCGTAGAAGACACTTCTACACACTTGGGTGCTTTCATGAGAGAATGAGTAACTTCCAGCTTTGAGGCAACTCCCGGCACTATGAAGTTGGCTGTCTGGATTCCAGCTGTGACGTTCTTGTACCTGTCGAGATGTTTAATGACGATTCTGACTAATGAATCAGAGAGGCTGTGGAGGAATGGTCGTTGTTTCCTGTAGGGCAATTCAAAAATAAATTTCTGCATATCACATAGCAGAAATATCTACCAGCGGAAGTTAAACACATAGGTTGAGTACTAAGATACAAAATTATTAATTTATCACTCCTATAAACCCCTTAGGCCGGGCACGGTAGCCGAGCGGTATAAGGCACGTACTGTCTTCGCTCGTTTGGAAACCGGGATCGTGGGTTCAAATTCCACTCAGGGCATGGATGTTTAGTTTGTGTGTGTGCGTTTTTCTGTGTTTGTGTACAAGTAGAGGCCTTGCGACGAGCTGATCACCCGCCCAAGGAGTCCTACCGAATGTGTAAGATCTAGAAAAACCGAAGTGAACGGAGAAGTTCATGGAGGTAGGCCTAGGCCCACTGAGGCTATAGTGCCAAGGGGGAAAAAAAGCCCCTTAGAATAATTCTTATGATGCGTAATTGAGGGGGCTATTTTGCTTTCATTAGGCACAATTTGTCTCAGCCGATTTTCCGTCTGTACTGAGATTGTCATGATTTTATTAGCTTGTCTATGATCCTCCATTCCGTTTCCAGTGACTGCTCTGAGCACACGTTTTTACGTTTTCCTATTGTTTCTTTCCCTAACATCCAATATTCGGATCCATGGAAAGCATATGTATGGGAATTAATCTGTAGAATTCTTAGTAATGTTTGCTTCAGGCATTCCCAAGCAGGTTGCTTATGATCTGTCTTCGCTCGCTCGAACGTTTGGATCGCGGATTCGAATCCCACTCAAGGCAGGCATGTCTGTCTGCGTTTATTCTGTGTTTATGTTGTCCTGTGTGTTGGTAGCGGCCTTACGACGGGCTGATCCCCAGTCAAAAAGCCCTAACTACTCTGTATACGGTCAGTAAACTGAAAAAGTTGACAAGGTCCAAAAAACGGACTGTAGAGCCATAGATGGATGGTCGGACGGACGGGCGGATGGTTAGGTGGTTGTATGGATGGTTGGAGTTGTTCCCGTACGTAATTAATTAAGCACTATGACATGAAGACATATGGAGGAGTGGAGGTACAGCTCCACAATTCTTCGCCTAGACACTAGTAGGATGTGAGCGGTCAACTTCACGTCCTGACTGCTATAACCCCAGGGACAGAACCTCCGGTATCCAGTGAATGGAAGGCTAGGTCGGCCCCAGAGTCTGGAGAAAGTCTCTTTGCCTCTGCCGGGAATTGAACTCAGGCCGTTCAGCCCGTATCCCGGTTCCTTGGGATGCTTATTATAATAAGCATAGATATTTGTTGCACATGTGACTCAAGAAAGGGACTGACTCACAATCAAAGTTGTCACAGACACACACATGACTCAAGAATGAGACTGTCTCATAACGACAGCTGGTACACATGTGACTCAAGGAAGAGACTAACACATGAAGGAAGGCTGCTACACAAGCATACGTCGAGACAGAAACTGTCTCGGAGAAAAGTTGTTACAACACGCGAGTGAAGAAAGAGGCTGTTACATAATCAGAATCATCATGAAAACCTTACACGAGAAAGAATAAGTTGACCTTACAAACTAAACTTTTACGAATGTCGTCTGCTACGGTCTGCTACTATAGCTATAGTTCCAGGAACTGCTGAATTGTGGTTAGTTCTATTGAGCCCCACGTTACTTCATGCGACAGCCGTCTAGGACGACATGGCACTTATCTTCAGAGTTGTCTGCTTTCCTTTACCTGTTATCAATACATCATGCCCCCCCCCCACCCGACATGTGTGGTAGCCGTAACCAGGCAACGCATTGCGATATCCTCAGTCTTTAGAGTTCGGTGTTTTGTCTCTGCCCCCCCCGCAGTTGCCTGCTTGCGGAATAAGGAGCAAGGTTTATCTCTCTCATAACCTGTAGGCCTACTGCAACGCAAGTAACAGAAGTTTCTCACTTCTTCAGGAATATTATTTTCTACATATAATTTTAGTAATATATTTTCTCTCTCTTTTATTGTATTTTTATGGGTTGTAAATTCAGGTAGTATATTTTAATCATTAATTACATTACATTACATTACATTACGCCATATTTAATTTCTAAACAACTCTCTCGAGATTCTATATAGGCAAATAGAAATGCCACCATCAACAAATATAAACGTACAGGTATTCGAAATGGAGAATTCGTATGAACCCAGTTGCAGTTTTAGGTCAGACACCTGGTTTATTTATTTACATATTTAGAATGTATGCAAATTTTTGTACTTGATGTTTGTACTATTAAGGTTAGAGCCATTGCTGAACATCCTCCAGTGACACGTCTTACGTAAAGCAGCCTTCGGCATCAGTCGCCTGTTTCTTCTGTAACGGGCTTACGAATCCTGTAGAGTTCGTTGCTTCAACGAAACCGTAGCAGACGACATTCGTAAAAGTTTAGTTTGTAAGGTCAACTTATTCTTTCTCGTGTAAGGTTTTCATGATGATTCTGATTATGTAACAGCCTCTTTCTTCACTCGCGTGTTGTAACAACTTTTCTCCGAGACAGTTTCTGTCTCGACGTATGCTTGTGTAGCAGCCTTCCTTCATGTGTTAGTCTCTTCCTTGAGTCACATGTGTACCAGCTGTCGTTATGAGACAGTCTCATTCTTGAGTCATGTGTGTGTCTGTGACAACTTTGATTGTGAGTCAGTCCCTTTCTTGAGTCACATGTGCAACAAATATCATGAGACAGTCTCATTGAGTCATGTGTGTGGGACAGCTTTCATTATGGGTCAGTCTCTTCCTTGAGTCACACGTGTAACAACTGTCATTATGAGACAGTCTCATTCTTGAGTCATGTGTCTGACAACCTTGATTATGGGTCAGTCCCTTCCTTGAGACACACACGTGTGTGTGTGTGTGACAACTCTTCTTCTTAACAATCTCGTGAGTTATGCGTGTGTAACGGCTCCTCTACACGTGGCAGTTTCTTCCTTGATTCGTGTGTTCGTTACATCTTTCTGTATGTAATGTACCATTCAAGCTCTAATTTTGGGAAGTCTCTGTATATTGCTGTTGTACTCTTGCTTTCAATAAAGCAGTGACGAAGAGAAGATATAGGAGAGTCGTAAGCATCCTCCTTTTGGTATGAGTGTGAAACTTGGTATTTCACACTACAGGTAGAATTTAGATAGAGTACGGAGTTAAAGTACAGATTGATGGCATTAAATAATAAGGTGTTAAGGTAAGTATTTAGAATTAACAAAACAGTAAGAGTGAATGTGTGTAATTATAGGGATGATCAATGAAAGGGGATGAAATGGGAGGGTTGAGAAATATATACGGCATTTTAGTCAGAAATGTTGAAAGAAAATTCAATTTGATATGCCTGTCTCTAGATGGTAGGATAATATTAGAATGATAAGAATTAGGGTGCAAGGATCTTGCTCGAGATGTCTTCTTGTGGGCCCATACCAATATGACATTTAACCTTTGGGTTCCATAAATGCGGGGGGATTTAATTACTCTTCTCGGGTCAGAGAAAGAATGAACACGACTTGCCGAAATTTAAGGAAATCTTATGCTCTCCCGCACTACCAACATTGCACACGAAATCTCCGTCAGTATCAGTAACAAACAGAGAACGCGAAGGGGGAAAGGTAGAGAGAGAGAATAAAAGTGACAAATGGTTGTAGTGGAGGAAGACACGCAGAGGGTAGGCAGTTGATAGATGGATGTGTAGGAGGGAATTTATGTTCATTCTTACTGTCACCCGAGGGTATATGAAAAACTTGAACCTCATTAATGGAGGAATCCGTCCGATACTGTTAATTAGTTGGTTAATCGGGAATTAAAATGCTGATTTTAATTTCCTCGTAAATTTCCAGGGGTGCGGCTGGCATCTTCTTTCCAGTGGATGAACATCTTGACATTCATCAATGTAATGAGACTTTCAGCTCTATATTTGGAGGCGGACATAGGTGTGACCAGGATACAGCAGAGGTAAATGCTAATAGTTGCTTATTAATTCATTGATTGGCTTGTGAATGACAGATTGTAGAGTCAATTGGACTGACTTTTGTAGCAACTGGTATCGCATTAAACAACGGTCGGATCCAAAATTATAACCTTTTCTTCAATTAAATTAATCGAATCTCATTTTTGCCAGTGGAATTTCCTCCATATCATATGGCTGTGTTATCATAACCTGCTTTGGAAGAGTATGAAAGCAGGGTTGACATTACAGTGTAAGAAAGGAGTCCTTATCATCGTATTCCACCGCAAAATGCATCCTTACTCATTTTATTTTCCGAACTGTCAAAAATATTTCAAATTCGCAGTCCGTCGGTTTATTTACGAGTCAATATTGAGGATAAACGTAACAGAGGCAGTTTGGAGATATTTGTCCTCTTGCTTTAAGCCATGATGAAATTGTTTTTTTAAGCGATTTCATAATTTATAACACAAATAGACCGTACGTTAGTCATGTCCGTATCTATGTGTAAATACCGTAAGCAGAGCGCTGTCTTTTATAAAGTTTTTCGATTTCTCATCACATCATTTTCGTGGAAGTCAGATGCGTTTTGAACCTGTGTTAGTTACGATGGAACTGCCAAGAAGAAGATAGCAACAAACTGCAGTGTTTCAAGTGATCAGCCGCATTAGGGTGTAGAGAAAGGTAACTCTAAATTATTATGATATTATTATTATCATCAAAATATTATAATACTATTATTGTTCTAATTATGTAAATTATGCCTCTTGCCTTCTTTTGCCTTTTGACTGTGTGTATGTATTTGTTTGTTTTTATAATAATTTATAATAATAATTTATAATTTGTTTTTATAATTAACCTTTGTGCTATTAAATAAGCACGTCAATAAATTATTATTATTAATATTATTATTATTAGCCTTCCTGTTCCTCCCAGCAATCTTAGGGACTTCTCATTGTTTGGTGTTTGTCTCTCTAACAAACACTGTCATTCTGCTCGGTGCGTCTGTGCTGCCAACGCGGTGGGTAAATATCTCGATATATTTGCAGTCGGGGTCGTTTCTCTCAATCACGTTTATACTCAAGAGCCAAAATTTGTTAATAATATTTGTTCGTGCTCCTAGTGTTCTGTGTTATGTGATTCTTAGTTATCAGGATTTCGTTACCTCTCCTTCTCTGCATTCCGCCACTGCTTGCCTGTAATTAGTCTTTGACTTCATGTTGTGTTTGTCCATAATGTAATTACCTGTGTCTGCACTGTGCTGTGTCTGTAATTGGCCTTGTGGCTGTTGACTCGGCACATAAATAATAAAGAACTGAATTGAATTGAATTATTATTACTTTGTCAAATTATGTTTCCAGATCCCTTCAAGTCTATGCAGTACGTACTCTGAAATCCAGATTTCAGAACGTTCGATTTAAAGTAGGTCAATGAAAGGTGCTCTTTCATAGGCTTAGCTAGACATGAGAATTATCAAATTTTCAGTTCGCTGCCTTCATTTGTTTCTGTGGTTTCAATTTAGTNTTAGTTTTTTTTTTTTTTTTTTGTTATTCTGTGTTATATTTATTTTTCAACTGGAATTTCGCTAGTGTAATATAATTCACAAGTGACAGTCCCACATTTTATAGCAATTCCAAATATAGTCATAAAAACGAAATAATTTCCAGATAAATAGAAAACCCCGGAAGAATATCACAAAATTTTATCTTCTAAACCAGAATTCGGAGAAGACTGGAAGCTAACCAATCTCGGCCAGAACGCAAACTGAAGTGTTTCATGGTTTTACTTAGTTCTTCCCAATATATCCACAATAATTTCTTCAGTACTATTTCCTTCCTACACCTTTCAATTCACCAGGATGAAGTAATAAATGCTAAGTAACTTCAGTTGAATTTGATGTTCTCACAGCAGTGACTATGAAGGGTCCTGAGGAATTTCTCAGGCCCTTAGGAGCAACACCTGCGTCTTGCGTAGCTCACTCTTTGACGCTGACCAGAGATGTAGTACGTTGCTCTGAAACATCCGTGAATTTCTGCCGGACTGGACACGGCGCTACATCCCAGAAGAATACCCCTCAACTTCTTCACTTGTTACGTCTTTATATAACCCACAGACCTTCCATGGTACACCTTCTTCGTTAAGCCGTTACAATAATTCAGTTCAATTCAACACCTGGAAAGCTTTGAAATGTGGTGTTGGAGAAGGATGGAGAAGATCAGTTGGACCGATTATGTGAGAAATGAAGAAGTGTTATTTATAGTCAGTGAGCAGAGGAATATCCTACATGAAATAAGGAAACGGAAGGCTAATTGGATTGGTCATATCTTACGCGGTAAGTGCCTTCTAAAAGAAGTTATTGAAGGAAAGATAGAGGGGCGGATAGAAGTGACCAGAAAACGAGGAGGAAGACGTAAGAAGATGCTGGATGACCTTGGGGACAGAAGAGGATATTCTCATTTGAAGAAGAAAGCTCTAGATCGCATTAAGTGGAGGAAATGTTTTGGAAGAGACCGTGGACCTGTCGTCTGACAGATTACTGATGAATGAATTACGTGCGAACTTAACAGCACAGAGGCCAATTACAAAGTAGCATGAGTACATAGAAATACACAAAAATAACTTAAGAACAGAAAAACAAAATATGACAGTCTATATAACCGCAGTAAATTAATAACAATCCCAAGGAAAACAATAATAAATATATTCTGTAGTTCCACCAGGAACATAAGCCGTCTGCAAGCTTTTTCCATTGTCCCGAGCCGCCCGTATTTTTTTCATTGCTAGTGGGGTGGGACTAAGTCCCTTGTACTGTGGCCCCTTCTGGCCTGTTGTACCAGCCCCAGATGATAGGTAAGGGTGATTGTGGAACAATTGGTGGAATGAAGACTGGCAGGGGAAACCGAAGTACTCGGAGAAAACCTGCCCCAGCGCCACTTTGTCGACCACAAATCCCACTTGACCAGACCAGGTGGGAAGCCAGCGACTAACCACTTGAGCCCCTAAATGCTACAGCTCATTCCAACTTCTTTCAGCTTCTCTCAGAATGGTTCCCCTCCAGCTGTTTCTTGGTCTTCCCCTTCCTGTCTTTCCTTGAGGATTCCACCTCTGATGGCTGTTCATCATCCTTCCTCAGCGTGTGGCCAACCCATCTAAATTTTCCTTTTGTTATCTCAATATTTATACCTGTTTGGCCAGATAGCTGCCAGAGCTCTTTATTTGAAATGGTTGTAGACCACCCAATTCTTATATAGAAATCAAACATCTGTTAATAAACGTTTGAATTTTCATTCTTAATTGATTTGTAACCAGCCAGGTCTCACAGCCGTATAAAAGCACAGAATTAACACAAGCATTGAAAACTTTTATCTTTGTACCTCTGTTTATAAGGGAGGGCTATCAGACTTTTTGCAGTTCGGCAAAAGCTCCTGATGCCTTTATGATTCTCTTGCTAACATCTTGTGGGGCTCGTCCATTTTCAGATACTTTGCTCCCCAAATAGCAGAAATATGTTACTCGTTCTATCTCTGTGTTCTCTGTCGTTATTGGCTTATTGTATCGTTTACTCTTTATTTCTTCTGTTTTAAGCGAGCAAGGTGCCATTCAGAATGCTTACGGAGTACATGTAAACAAAACATCGGCGGATAAGTACTTTTCACACTAAACACTGTGTCTCTCTTCGTTGCAACAGTAGTACATTAAGACACAGTGAACAGTGGGAACAGTCGGTCTGTTTACACGAACTCCATAGACATTCCGAATGAGGTATAGTGATGCCACCACTTGCACCTTGTCATTGTGCTGTACCGTGACACTGTTTGTATGCGCAGTGCGTGCCTGCCAAGGGCCCTGGGTTGCGACGGGGCTACACTTGCACGTGCCGGCTTGGCTACTTCTCCCAGGACTCGGATCTCACCAAGCGTCACTTCCGGGGTGAAGAGGGAGACGCAGACGAGACACTCTACAAGTAAGAGACGCCAATTAAGGCCCTATACAAAGTCGGACTGTAAGAGAAAGTTTCTATCTAGGCTGTGAGATCACAGTTTTGTTAAGTAAGCTGTGAAGCAGAGAAGGCCAACTTTGCATTTGGCACAACTGAAACATAATCCCTAGTTGTAATGTCACGGTACGTCGAACTTACTTTCAACCCAGCTCTAAGTGAAAGATAGTGCTTATCTGTGACGTCATATTATATTAAACTTGAATTCAGTCTGTGGGAGCCACCCACACCGAATCAAGCGCTAGCCAATCAGCGTGGACCACGGCAGCTTCAACGCCCATTGATTCGCGCACTGCAACGACAGCGTACCTCAGGCACGATAGTCGCAATCGTAGGTAGGAAACATTCACTGCTACGCAACGGCTCAGTAACCAGGTATCCGCGGAAAGAGATCGGTATAATACGGTAAGGAAACTGTAGAAACCAGTGACCTCCCTATGGTCAGCTCTAAGCTGCATAGCGTGGAATAATACTGAAATGAATAATCTTCCATTGTCCGAGGCGCTACTACGCAACGACCAAGGTAAGCACAATAGGCTGAAGCTCGTCCGTGTATTCATTATAACAACAATAAATGTTGGTATAGAAGTTTACTACGTGATTGTCTCTTCAAGCATCGACATCCCTGGAGCCCAATCAGAAGCTGGCTGCAAACACAATATAGCTCGTAGTTGTGACAAAACTAGCACAGTCCTACGTACCTCAGTTTTTGGATGAGGCCGCGCCATACCTCAGGCGGTTAGTCGCTGGCTTCCCACTGCAGCTGCACGGGTTCGAGCCAAGTTCTGGTCATGTGGGATTTGTGGTGGATAAAGTGGTGCTGGGGCAGGTTTTCTCCAAGTACTTCTGTTTCCCCTGCCAATCTTCATTCCACCAATTACTACACAATCACCATTATCTATCATTGGGGGCTGGTACAATAGGCCAGTAGTGGCCGCCGTACCAAATGGACTCAGTCTCACCCCACTAAGAACAATAACAAATAAAAAATAGTTCCTAGATGAGGCATTACGGTAGGTCGAAACCATTTCAGCGTAACCTAAGCCCACCTGTAAGATATTATTTCTAGTTGTGACGTCACAGCAGATTAAACTTTAGTTCAGCTTAATCAGAACCTGGCTACAAGCGCTGTAGAATTCTAAAGTGTGACGTCAGTGTAGGTGAACTTTGGATTCATTCCAGACGGAGCCCAGGCACAAGATGGTAGTCAGTGAAACATGCGTTCAGTGGAAGAGAGAGAGGGCCTAGCTATGACGTCACAGCAGTTCAACCTCGGAAACATTTGTTCCTTTTGCCATAACCTCAAGCTGTCCAAATAACGAAGACAGTTCCTTTCTGTTAGTATTCATAAGTGCATGACGCCCAACATTCAACCTGGAGGTACAATGCGTTACTTCTTTCCCTGCCTGTACCCTTCAACCTCTCCAGCTTGGGTGACCCTCCCATGAACTTGCGCCCTCGTTGCTTATGCTTTCTGAGCGATCAGGTCATGCAACCCTCCCCACCAGGAGGAGAGAAGGAATTGATAGAACAAAATTGGAACATGACATGGATCACGAAAGTAACCAATTCATCATTGTATGCCTCTTTTATTCGAAATACATGAACCCGAAAAGTCAGTGGCTGATTCAAAACTGCAAAGAACATATTTGGCAGCTCTGGTTACTTGCTTGCCAGCTACTATGGGATCCGTACCGTGAACAGATCGAGGGATGGCACTGAAGTGACATCCTTCTGCTCCACATCACATTGAAGTGAGGTTATGTTCTCACATTGCATTGAATTATGAGAAGAAAAATAGTTTTAGGTTGAACACATCACGTAGCTCTGCTGCAGATATTGAAATACGTTCAGAGCCTGCTGCAAACAAAATCGTTCTCTTATACAAGAGCGTGCACCAGAAGTTACGGTACAATATACAGAATCATTTTGAAGGACATGTAGAAGTTCTCTCTGTAAACAGAAAAGCAATATTTGAGTTCTGCGTTACGATACGTTTTTGTAAAACAGTCCGTGAAGGCCCATAAGATTGTGAGACGTCGGGGCTCCCACATTTTCTAGACAGTCGAATCACAGATGGCGCTAAGCTTATCAGCTTTACGCGCCGGAAGCCCTTTGCCCCCTAGGAAGATTCCTGGTACTCATTTCTGTTAGAGGCTGAGTCGATCCCAGGGCCATAGTGCGGCTGGAAGGATTACGTGAATTGAAAAATTCAGTGACCTCATTGGGAATCCAACATGCCACCTTCCGACTTGTAGCATAATGTCCCAACCAACTACGCTACCGCGTGTCCCTAGTTTTGTAAAGTATTAAATATTTAATACCTGCGAAGTCTGCTGAACTGTCATAAGATTAAACATATCAAACTAAAACGTAAAAGTTCTCGCTGTGGTTATTTAATTAACCACCATGCCATGAAGACGCATCTGGGATTGGAGGTATAGCTCCAAAATATTTTACTTCAGCACTAGACGGAGGTGAACGGTCAGCTTCATGACTCGGTCTCTTTACCCCCGGGGAAAGAGCCACCGCTACCCATTGGATAGGAAACTCGATGGACTCCGGTCTGGACGCTGTAGTAGAAAACATTATCTTTGCCCTAGCTGGGGATCGGACTCCAGGCGCTCGGCCCATAGCCCGTTGCTTTACCGACTGAGCTATACCAGCATCAAACTAAGGGCAACAAAAATCGCTATGTTGAAATTATACACCTGCCTTTAACAAATGATTTCCTTTGTAAATAAATGTCATTGTACATAAGCATTAAACTTTCCAGATGTTTTCAATGACTCTTCCAGGCCATTCAGGGCCCAGGCCTTTTATTCAGTTAGCTGATCATTTTTCACATACGGTAGGACGCCTTGGACGATTGATCAGCTCTTCGCAAGGCCTCTAACTAAACACAGTGCACCACAAACACTCGTTACTTGAATGGGATTAGAACCCACGATCCCAGCATCCGAGCGAGAGAAGGCAGTTCATGGCTTAGACCGCGCGGTTACTGTGACTGACTTTCTAGAATTTAGTGATTTATTATTATGAACAGTTTCTAATAGTGAAGAAAGCCATGGAGGCCCATAGGGTTGTGAGACGCTGAGGGTTCCACATTGCTTAGACAGTCGGCTCACAGATGGCAGTAAGGTTGTCAGCCGTCCTTTACCCCCCCCCCCCAAAGGAAGATTCGTGGTACTCATTTCTGTTAGAGGCCTGAGTGGAATTCGAACCCACGATCCCGGTTTCAAAGCGAGCGAAGACAGTACATGCCTTAGACCGCTCGGCTACCGTGACCGGCTACACATTTGCTTAGCCCAGTATATATTTGTATATTGCCCTGTGGTCACTGTCTATCTGCGTAATGGATTTAATATGCCTAATTTCTGCACTTCATTAGGCCCTGTCAAATTGAATGTATCATGAAGATTTCGCACACTGCCATGCTGTTATCTCAAATTCTACTAAAATAGTACTGAGGGTGTTTGAGAACAGGGAGCTGAGGAGAATAGTTGGCTGAAGAATAATGGATGAGGACTTCATAATTTGTGCTGCTCGCCGAATATTAGAATAATGTGAACAGAGTTTGTAACAAATATGTGAGACTGCATGAAATAGTATGGTAGGAACACTTGAAGGACATAGACAAATAGGAACACCAAGGCTTAGATGGGTTGATGAAATTAAATGGCTTTACAGAAAGATGATGGGAGGGCCTGGATTGGATTTATCTGGCTTAAGATATTGTCACGTGTTGGGTATGTAACGGGACAAATAACTTCACGCCGTCTTGCATATAGCGAATTTATTCCACTCGCTCTTACATTTGCACAATTCACAGTTCCACAACTACTGCAATCGGCAGTATCACAAATACTTCACCTGCTTCCATTCACTCCGGCGAATGCTAGACTGCAACTGACTGGTTAGTCTCTCTCACTGACGAATACTCCTGTTGTGTAGCTTCCACACTGACAACACAGAAAACAGTTACTTGATAGCTTTCACTGTTGCGTGACGTCGTGTTTACCGATTGCCTAGCAACAGTCGCTGCACGGGATCCCCTGTTGCGTGACGCCGTGTTTACAAAGCGTTGCTGGGCAATGCTGCGTAGAAACCAGAGCGCTTCGGCTCGGCACGAACAAACACTGCTTTTCTTACTGTTGCGTAACTTGGCAACCGACCGTTTATAAGGGTCTGTCTTCGTGGTAACTCGTTCCACCTCCCGTTGCCCAGCAACGGTTAGTCATGTCACAATATGAACCTTTGATGGGCTCTATGAAAGCCAGAGAATTTCTTATGTAACTTAAACATATTCATTCATTCATCAGTAATCTGTCAGACGTCATGTCCACAGTGTCTCCCAAAACAGTTCCTCCACTTAGTGCAATCTGAAGCTTTCTCCTTCAAATAAAATATCCTCTTCTGTCCTCAAGGTCATCCAGTATCTTCTTACGTCTCTTTTCTCGTCTTCTGGTCATTTCTATCCGCCCTCCCCCCGGTTTGTTTTGTCTCCAGAAAAAACATCTCGCATACATGATATCTCTGTTTTTGCAAAGAGACTATCCAGGAAAAGGGATAATGTGGTAGTTTTTCCATTTGCTTTCCACATCGCAGTACAACAGCCGTTCAAACCACTCTGGTCACGCCTGTTGCTATACGAACTTTAACCATCTCGAGTATCATTTTCTCTGTGCTTCAAGTCGCTGCTGATGACGCTGCTTCCTTAATCAGTTTTTGGTTTTTGGTGTCTCTCTTCGTCTGATGCCTACCCTTTGACCTGTCCAGCAAGGGAGGCCCTGCCAGTAGCTACGCTACCTCTGGTATAGCTCTCAGGGTCCTTGGCATAATCAAACCCCCTCACCACGATAAGGTGGAGACACCAACGTCTCAAAAGACTCAGTCCCTTGGTATTAATTAGTTAATAGATGAACTCTTGATTTAAGGGAAGTATAGACGATTCATCATTAGGCCTT